TGGCTTCCCTGTGGTGAGATATTGTAGTGTGGCACTGGTTGTTGAGGGTTCTGCCCGTGCTGGGGGTGACCCTTGGCCCAGCTCACTGTCCTCATGGAACAACCCTGCTCTTGCTGCTCCTGACAATCCAGCTAACTTTACACCAAAAATATTGCCTGCTTGCTCGGCCTATAACTCTCCAATCTGGTGACAGGGGGATCCTGGGAGATCATTTGGAAGGCCTTACTGAAGTCAGGGTATAGGACTGCTTTTCTCCTGTAGATAGAACAAGCCATCCCATCCTAAGAAGCCAATGAGGCTGGTCAGGAGTGATTTGCCCTTGGAAAATCTGTGCCCTTTTTTACCATCATCTTTTGTTCCTTTACATGTCTCAAAATGCTCCCAGGATGCTTTGCTTTGAAGCCTTCTCTAAGGATTTGAACTTGAATACAACTGCCCATCAAGGTGCTAGTGACCCATGCAACAATTGACAGAAGAAAGCACAGGCCTGTGCTTGCCGAGCATATAGGTTGGCTCTCCCTCCTGTGCTGGGCTGCACGTGGCCCTGGGCTGGATGAACTTTGCATGCAAGCCAGAGGGAAGGAACCTGCAGGTTTGGCATGAGTGACTGCAACCCCTGTGTCTTCGTATATATTGTAAAGTGAAGTGGCAAGTTTTCATGAACATCATTTTGTTTCGCAGTAGAAATTAATTATTTTCTTCTTTAAAAATTTCTGCAAGAGCTCTAAAGACCAAAGTGTCAGTGAACACCTATCTCCATGGATGGCTCCTGCACTGCATGCCATTCCTCGACTGGTCGTCTCTCAAATATTGCACAACTTAGGGTTGAGGGAATGTAACCTATATTATCCTTTTTCCTTCTAATGTTAGCTGCAATAAATGGTATTTTAAACAATATCTTACAGAGTCTGAGTATCTTTCTTGATGCAGATAATAATGAAAACTAACTCTTAGTGCCTTGCAGTAGTATACTACACCTTTTCAGGGGCTGCAGAGACCTGTAGTCTCCTTAGTTTTCTTTTTCTGAAAATTAGTAATTTTTTCGAATCATCATGAACCTTCTCCAATCATTCTGACTTTTCCTTAGTCTTTTTGCTATTATAGCTAAAGAAGATTTTTTTTTACAGCCCTTCACATCCCTTGTCAGCTTTCCCTCCAGAACAATTTTTGCTTCTCAAATTTCACCCTTTCGTGCATGGGAAAAGCTCCTATACTCTTGCCTGATGGATTCTCCTTGCTTTCAACTCTTGTATGTTTTCTTTTAACATTTGAGTTCAGGCAGTATGAAGGCACCTTCATCATCAGAGACACTGTATATTGCTTCCACAGCAAGGTATGTGGAAAGTGAAAGGCTTTGCACGTATGTGAGGCTAAAACTCATTCAGCCATAGCAAGGATCTGAGACAAATGCTGCCATCCAAACCACTGCTGGCCTGTGGGATATGACCACTGAAAGTTACACCATGAAGGTCAAATGAATCTATGTCAGATCAAATATCCGTGGGGGAGCATTAAGAAATCATCAGCTATACAGTGAAGTCCGAGCAATGTGAAACGTCATATGGGATATTGCAATGACAATTAAGACAAATGTTCCATCACAGCCTGTGAGAGATCAAGGCAGCACTGCAGGCAACAATGTACATCTCCAGAATGGCAAAGAGCTGCTGCAGAAAGGTGCCATGTGGGCTATGAGCACCTCTTTGAAGGAGCTTGACCACACACCTTGTATGCTTTGTACTGGGGAAAAAACAGTCCCACAGAACAATTGAGAATGAAGTCATCACTGATAGCTACAGCACCCAGGTCTACAATGATAACCAGTTAGACAGGCAGCTACAATTGATAAATGATTTGTAAATGAATGGTTACCTCTGCCCCGATTGAAAGACAGCTTCCAGAGTCACTATGTAAAATGAAGACAAACACAAAATGCTCCTTCCTACTGGCAAAAGAGCAGGAACAAGGAGGAGAACAAAATCTTGAGTTCTGCATAGGTTTTTGTGATTGAATGAGAGGCTTTGGTCTGTGAGCTGACCTGGACTTCATATCCTTTTGAATATGAAGTACCTTTTACACTCTCAGTTGTTCACGCCTCAGGTACTCAAGAGTCTGTTGGTTTAGGGACAGCTCCACAATTAAATGCCCGGCAGAAGAAAGGGCAGCAGAGCCTTAGCTGACCTCTTTCTTGGGACAAACACTGTCAAACAAGGATGTGAGACTGAACTGTTTGTACTGCTTTCACAGCTGCGTTGGACAGGGCAATCCATTGCCAGTGTCCCAGGTAATCTTCAACTGCAGGAAGGTTTGCTTACTCTCTATAGACCCCATGTCCAGAAGACTGTACAAGACCACCATGTGTTGATGCTGTGCTGATGGTCTGCTCTGATCTAATTCTCAGTTTGCTCATGGGTATACTCAGTTGCTTAAAAGTGGCTTGGCACTAATTATCAGTTTGAGCACAGAAAACCACAAGAGACCCCTTAGAAAGAGCACAGCATCCCTTTATCTAATGTTATAAAAGCAGAACTTACTATCCTCCATGTACTTGCTTATTGTGGATGTGTTCTGAACCTGAAACTCCAATTCTTGGAGCAAATATATATATATATAAATAAATATATATATATATATATATATAACTCATGAAACAAAACTCTGCATCAAAAACAAGCAAAGCTTGTTCTGCATATCTGGAACCAAGACACTACATAGAAGTCAAGTTCACCACATATAAAAAACCCCCACCATTGGAATAATTTTAAGTCTATACTTGTAGTGTGATGGCGTGAAAAAAATTATCACCAACAAAATTGCAGCTGCTTGCCGGACGTGTTTGTAAGTACTAAAATACAGGCCATATATGTTGAGCTGGGCTTGTGACACAGGTCTGGTAACTTCTGCAATTCATGTATGAGAGGCCAGATTAAGGCAAAGGGGATCATGGTTGTCTAGCAGAGAGGCTTGAAGGACATTTGAACGGTAGATTTCACTGAGTTAAATATACTAGCCAACTCTTACTTGCAGCAATGGAAGACCAGTGTGGTAGAAGTAGAACTAAACCCCTGCGAACACAAAGTGGCCCAGAATAAAAAAGGTATAAAAACTGAAAAGAGTGGCAGAAATCCAAGGCTCACTCTAAACAGTGCGAGAAAACAGCTTATTAGGTGTAAACACATAGATTCAAAGAATCATAGAATATCTCAAATTGAAAGGGATCATCAAGTCCCCCCTTGCAGGACTACCTGTATATAAGCCATATGACTAAGGGCATCATCCAGACACTGTAAAGTATCTGGAAGCATCCCTTTAAGGCTAGATGTCTTCTCCAGCATCTGACTGTCTGGTCAACAGTTCCTTGCCGTGGTGAGAGGCCAAACTATCCTTCTTTTCCTTTTATGTCACTGGGATATTACAGTGTGTCAGGACCATCTGATCTACATTGATCTGTATATTAACAAACAGATATGAAGCACTGAGTAGAATAAACACACACAACTTGGTTTTGGTGTTTGACAGAACAGATAGTGAAGATTTTTGATTGACAGTGCACCTGGAAGACTCATTCTCCATTCCTTTTCTCCAGCCACATACCAATATATACCTTATAGGTAGGGACAAGGTTTTTTTTGAGAAGCACTTCTATCATCAGAAAAAACAGACAAGCTTTTTAAGCCTTCTTAAAGGCTGAAACAGAAGTAGTAGGCCTGACTTAAAAAGAAAAAAAAAGAATTATTCTGTGCTTAAGTATAGATATCTATCTGTCAGACTATCTGTGGGAAAACAAAAATAATGCCCAAACTAAACCAAAACACTTAGTTGATACCTATGGAGTAGAGATCTAATGAAAAATAACACTTCCACTACAATCTTGCCTTGCTTAAGCCCTCAGACTGCCTTGGTGATAACAACTCCACTGCCAAAGAGAATGTAAATTTCTATACTATGTTTATTTTTACAAAATGAAGCAGACTGAGATAAAGAACACTGCACTGCCTAAACTTCTGACAGCAGTACAGGAACCTACCTCTTCTTTACAGAGATCATAGCCATGTCCAATATGTTGAAAAGACTTATGTCATACAGGCTTTGGGATTTCCCCTCCTCCCTTTTTTAAATCACATAGTACTTTGTAGAGGTCAAAATGGTTTCTTTACTGTTTGTCCATTCTATTATTTCAATACAGAACAATAGCTTTTATAACTGAAATGTTTTTATAATTGAAATATATTTGCTATTGTATATTATGGTTGTCCCACAGAGCATGAACACTCCTCTAGCTGGATTTCACAGTTCCTCTGTCCTCTGTGAGGTCATTAAGTTAGTACAGACACATTTGGAATTGAGTATTTTTACTTTGTCTAAAGCTATGTTTTGCTATTAAACCCCTGAGAATAAACTAATTTGCTGTAAAACCACACTCACTAAAAGATTTTTTTAAAACATCCCAGCTCTTCAAAGAAAATGATCCTGTTTTTCACTTTCATCTTAACTGGTTTTCTCACATGCACCCTTCTTTATTTCAACAGTTTTATTAGTAGAGTAATAGGCCAAGACCTGTTCTCCTTTGCTTCTGTTTGGCATGACTCAGCTGCATTTTGTCCATTCAGAAAGGATTAATTCACAGAGAGAGTTCTGGTCTGTTACTACAACCAGAATAAGAACTTGACTGATATTGACAGGTTGACTAACAACTGCTAATTGTGTGCTCCACCACTAAGTTGTTCACATTTTTTTGTTTTTACTGCCATCCCAGTACCTAGCTGCAAATGAGGCTTTAAGGAACACGAGCATTATTTCCCAGTTTTTTCTTCAGCCTAATGGTCCTGATGTACTGATGGAAAGTACTGTTATACAGAATAAAAACTAATATTTGCTCACCCTTCAATAGAAACAAACCCACTGAAACAAAAACTGACCTAATATCATTAAATTATTTTTATGGTGTCGAAGGTCAAACTTCTGAAAGGCAGCAGTGGGTGGCTCACAGTTCAGACTGTATAAATTCCCAAGGGCTCAGCCAGTATGTCTACATACAGCTGGAAAGCTGTATTCCCTTTGGTGCCGAAACTCAAAAGGTAAGCATCTCTCTAGGAAAATTTACTTTCTTACTATATTATTTCAGGTTTATGACAAAACTTAAAAAGAAAGTAGATATTGTTTTGTATTTGACATCTTCGCTCTAGAAAGCATTTTTTAGGATAGAATATTTACATCATAGTCTCTACAAGTCTCACTTTTGTGCATGCATTCCACACTATTTTATTATGTGTAAAATCTGAGTATTTGGGATTTTTGGGGAGATTTTTTAAAAGTTATTATTTGTGCTTCAAATATTATTTTGTGCTTAAAATACGATTTTATTTCAGAGCATCTTATCCTTCCATTCAGTATCTCTTTAAGTTTGATTTTGGCAGTCAAATAATAAGTTTGCTTGGTTGACCTCTGGTTTCAATAGAGTGCACTGAGAGCAAAACTGTGCCATTCAGTGAATTTGATAAGTTTATTTTAGTGTGAAATTTCTCTAACAGTTGAATCCCTGAAAAATACAGCTGGTGAACACTGTAAAAGATAAAAAGTGTACAGATGTACAGTTCTTAAATAACCTACAAATGGGAACACGTATACAGAAAGGAAAGTGAGAGAAATCTGTGTGTGAGTGTATGCATATATCCAGGAGCACAGTCACAAAAAACTCTCATTAGAGTTTAAGACTACAAAGATAAACTTGAGATCTCAGCATTTAGCTCCTGCATAAGAGGCTGGATTTTGAAAAACAGTAAACTTTCAAAATTCCTGTAAATCACAAGATGGAAGCTAAATCCATGCTGACCTGAGAAGTTGTGCTTTATGTAAGCACAGTGGCTAGACAGGACTTGTACCATCCATCACTTTATAGCAGCCTCAGACAGAAATAAACATAAGGCTTTTACTGGTCTATGTCGCAAACAAATATTTGTTTAATTGTGCTAAATTATGGTACATATAGCTATTTTATCGTATCTGCCTCTCTTCTCTCTCTCTACCTGAATGTCACTAACACAATTTAATTTCTCAGAAAGTTTGAAGTATAGTATAGTATATTTAAGCAAAGCACGCTGTATCTGAAAGCACAATAGGATGAAACACAAATTTTGAGCATCAGTCTAGCTCCTAGACTTTGTACCTTAGACAAATTATATTGCCTATTCATACTTCCATTACTAAAACAAAGGTAAAACCACAGGCCTGTGAAGATCTACTGACAGTAAGTACTGTGCAACAAATAGATATTTTACTGCATTTATTTTTAGAAAACAAAAATAGCCAGCCAGCCTCTGATTTTACTTATATCTGTCCAAAATTAGAGCAAGTCTAACATAATTTGCACTTAAATTTCCAGCTTTGCAAGTATATCAGAGACAGTATTTTCTTGTTTTCATCAAAGCTACTACAAAGTATTAAGGAATTCTATGCTTCAGTGAATTAAATAAGTACAGGCAACTGTTGTTTGACTGCTTTGAAAAGGTAAACAGACTTAAGACCTCAGAGGAACTGTTACAAAAGGGCAATGGGACACAAATGCATAAAGAAACAGATTTATGAATTCATAGTTCCTAACATACATGAGAGGTGAGCATAGCAGTAGGTATGTAACCACAGAATGATTTCAAAACCACTTGTTTATATTTCATGGCTCAAAAACTGCTATTAAACATGCTGTGTTTGTGTGCTATGCCATTATATTGTTATTGTACTTCTGCTCTAGACAATACCGGTTTCAAGATGGGCTCCATCGGTCCAGTAAGCACGGAGTTTTGTTGTGATATATTCAAAGAGCTGAGAATCCAGCATGCCCGGGAGAACATCATCTACTCCCCTGTGACCATCATTTCAGCTCTGTCCATGGTCTACCTAGGAGCAAGAGACAACACCAAGGCTCAGATAGAAAAGGTGAGGCTACAGTTAAGGATTTAAACCCTCCTGCTGCTCAACAGACTCACAGCACTTAATGATATAGTGTCCCTTGCGTAGATCAGAGGTTAAAAAAATGTACATCCAGAGTTATCAAAAGCTGTGGCCACCTCAAACCCCCAGATTTAAATTTTAACATTGTTAGCAATAGTATCTTCAAAGAGAACAACACATTATAGTGGTCCTTTGTTTGGAGTAAGGAAAGGAAACAAAATGTCCAGGGAAAGAGCCAAAATATCTCCAGACTGAGAAGTGTTCCATGTATTTCCTACAGCTCTCACTACTTCCATAGAGAGTGGCTGGCTTGTTACCTAGAAGAATCGGTATTAATAATAGCACACACTGGAGCTGATTCCTAGATGTTCAATAGCAAAAAAATCATCCAGCAGGCAGCAGCAGGCATGGCTATTCACAGATGGTACAGATGGATTGCACTTTTTAAGTCATCCAGCTTCTCAGCTAGCCAAAGCATTTGCTTCACATCTTATGTGTTAATCTCAGTTGCATAACCTTTTCCTTGTCACCCCTGTTATTTCAACTGCTGTTATTCTCAATTACAGGCTGTTCACTTCGATAAAATCCCGGGGTTTGGAGAGAGTATTGAATCTCAGGTACAGAAAAAATCCATCTCCTTCTCTGTCACTTTCTCCTGGGAGCAAAAACTATCAGATAAAGCAGTCTCTCAGCAGTTCCAACACTTCTCCAGTAAGAAGCTGGTGCTCTGCATCCAGCATTTGGGGGAACACTACATTCATAAGAATAGATGGAGAAGGCAGGTAACTGAGGATTCAGAACAAGCATAAAATGAAATCCATTAGCATAATATTGGGAAAAAAGGGTAAAATTACAGATATTTGTATGATTAGGCAAGGTAGCCAGATGTTACTGGATTAATGGGACTGGTTGGGCATGGAGGAAAACTTACCTGACCTACTGGAGCTACACTACTGTAGCAGGTAATTAAGAGTCTCCCTGAGAAAGCTATGAGGAAATTACAGTAGAAAACCAGCACGGAATTGCACATATTACAAAAATACTATATCATCATATATAGCAAGCAGGCACATGGGATAAACAGTTTTATAAGCAGAAGTGTCTGAACTACTCTACTCCTTTCACATAGTATGTAAAACCTACTAATTATTAAAACTAGGATAACATCATCTGTCTTTTTATTTGTATTCCTGTCAACGATACAGTGTGGCACATCTCTGAGCATCCACACTTCACTTAAAGACATACTCACCCAAATCACCAAACCAAGTGACAACTACACAGTCGGCATTGCCAGTAGACTTTATGCTGAAGAGAAGTACCCAATCCTGTCGGTGAGTTGCTCTAAGATCTGATCTGAATGTATTTCCATGTCTGATCTGGATGTATTTCCATTTCTGTAATGCAAAAAAGCACTGTCAGAAGTCTAGGTTCTGCAAACGAAATTTTCTTCCATATAGAAGAAAGGATTCTCAGCTTCTCTCTATCACAGCCCTTGAAAGTCTTGAGAAAAAATGTGGCAAATCAAAAAGATGTTTGTGCATCTTTTTGTGGAATCAAGTCAAAGTATAATTAATAAAGGTAATTTCTGTTAGTAAAAGTTAACTCCAACTGTTTTCTCAATTTGAAAGCAAAACTGAAAAATAACTTCAGGCTCTCAAAAATATTCCACAGTTTTCCATTGAAAGGAACATTTACTTTGAAAGTAGAGGGAAATACCATTGAAAAATAAAAATTTTAAAAGTGGGAAAAATGGAAAAAACCACCATACTTAACTGAAATGGATGCCATTTTAAAATCAAACTCAGTTCTGGAAAATATTTTTTTAAAATGTGGGCAGATGCTGTTGCTTGAAACAATGAATGTAAAATCTTAAGATGCTTATGAACTAGAATAATGGCTTACTGATTAGGCTTAACAAGCAGATTATTAATATCTGCTAATTTCATTCTTGCACTTTACATTTGGAAAATGCTTTGACATTCTTCTCTGAAAATGGCATATTCTTCCTTTGCAGGAATACTTACAGTGTATTAAGGAACTGTATAAGGGAGGCTTGGAACCTATCAGCTTTCAAACAGCTGCAGAACAAGCCAGAGAGCTCATAAATTCCTGGGTTGAAAGTCAGACAAATGGTAAGAGGAAGCCAACTAACAGCATGGGTAGTTGTCACTATGTTTGAACAGCATAGGAGAAGGAGAAAAAAACCCTAAAACCTCTCCCTCTGCTCCTTCTCCTGGATAATAGATCAGCTCCCAGATATAGAACTATCGTTTAATGAATATTTTTTCCTCACACACACACATTTTAGAAGACTTTCTTTATCTGTAGGGGCTTTGTGGATATGTAATACTTCAGTCCTGATAAAAGGGACAACACTGAAATATGCTTTGTACATTTGGAGACCATCCTGGGATAAAAGGTTCCAATAGTTCTTCCCATTGTCACAAAATATACTCATTTTGCAACAAGTAGATAGATCTTTGGGTCTTATATCCCTCACTATAACTCTTTATAGCAAGGAAAAAACCAGCCATTGCCAACAGCAGTGAGCAAATCAGCTGTGGAAGTACAAGATAACAGATACAAAACCAAACCCATGTCCCTGCCCTACACTCTCCTCCCCACAAAATCTTTACCCTTGATTTAACGTTGTGACTGCCAAGTAAGATGTGTTATACACAGATACGTTACACATGTTATCTTTTCCTATGTATCCTTATAGGAATGATCAAAAATATCCTTCAACCAAGCTCTGTGAATCCAGAGACTGATATGGTCCTTGTCAATGCCATTTATTTCAAAGGATTGTGGGAGAAGGCATTTAAGGATGAAGGGACCCAGACAGTGCCATTCAGAATTACTGAGGTATGTACACATGGATCACCTTAAAGGTGTCATCTTTTAGAATTTATGAAGGGAGTAGACAAGCTGTTATACATTCTGCCTGAACAAGAGCAATTAGCATTTTAAACCATAAGCGGACATTTCTACACTTTAGGAATGATCTTTGTGAAAACTCTACTATTTGGTTTTGCAGCAAGAAAGCAAACCTGTGCAGATGATGTTCCAGATCGGTTCATTTAAAGTAGCAGAGATTACTTCTGAGAAAATCAGGATCCTGGAGCTTCCGTATGCCAGTGGGAAGCTGAGCCTGTGGGTGCTGTTGCCTGATGACATCTCTGGCCTGGAGCAGGTATGGCCCTGGTAGTAGGGTTTCAGAAAACCATAAACATGCTGAAATTTAGGTGCTGAAAAGCTCTTCACAAGAAAGTTGTCTTAAGCCACAGATCTGAATACTGGCAACATGGGATAGTTGCATACAAGCATGCAGCTCAGTGGTCCTCCAATAGTTTGTGATGAGCATGGATTGCTTAAGGAACTGCTATAGTGGGTTAAATATTTGTCACTGCAGAACAGATTCTTCTCAGATAAGCAGCTGTTACACCAGCAGCTTGAACTCCAAAGGTATTATATCTCCACTCCTGCACACTGATGAGCTTCCTGGGAAGTTCTTGTTAGCTTAACTATTTATAATTATTGCTTGGTTTGACAGCATTCAACATGCTTCCTTTATACCTTCAAAAATTAAAGTATCTGAAAACTGAATATGAGGAGTCCTGGAATGGTTAAAGCAATTTCAGAAAGCAAAGTGTATATGACATACTATTGTTGATATGAACAGAATACAGTCATGGGATATTGCCATTAGGAGGACTGCAGTTTAAATAGGAAAAGTGATATAATAAATCAGAGTTCATCAAAATGACTTTACACTAACTCAAAGAATTTAAATTACAAAAAAAAAAAAGGCATTTGAACACAACTAAATTTCTTCAGTAATAACTGACAGTTCAGATATTAGTAATTAGGTACCATTAAAACCTGGTTACTTCACAGTCTTGAATGTAGATAGAGCTGACAACTCATACATACTAAATGATTTTTGGAACACATTTCTAAAGAAAAGAAGATAAATAGGCAAGACCTTTGGTGAAATTTGCTGAATAGCCATTTGATGAAGAAAATTAATTGGCAGTGAGCCTATGATAGAAATAGAAAGCAGGACAGCAAAGGAAGATTAGCTTTTGTCTTCTAGAGATATTAATCTGCATACACCTAGAAAATGTATCATGACAAGAGAAGTCAGTTTAAGGAAAAATAAAACAACCAAACTGTTCTGCATTGCCACAAAAGAAGTTGTCATCTCAGAGATCAAATTTGCTTGTCTCATTGCAGCTTGAGACTGCAATCACCTTTGAAAATCTCAAGGAGTGGACCAGTTCTACTAGGATGGAAGAAAGGAAAATTAAAGTTTATCTCCCCCGCATGAAGATTGAGGAAAAATATAACCTCACATCTGTCTTAACATCCTTGGGTATCACCGACCTGTTCAGCTCATCAGCCAATCTGTCTGGTATCTCTTCAGCAGAGAGACTGAAGGTGTCTTCGGCCTTCCATGAGGTGTTTGTGGAAATCTATGAAGCAGGCAGTAAGGTGGAAGGCTCAACTGGAGCTGGAGTGGATGATACAAGTGTCTCTGAAGAGTTTAGGGCTGACCACCCTTTCCTCTTCTTGGTCAAGCACAACCCAAGCAACAGTATCATCTTCTTTGGCAGATGCTATTTACCTTAAAGATAGGGAAGCTGAAAGAGTTTCTATCTTTCATAGCATGACCCAAAATGCTGCGTTATCAAGGGTAAAAAGAAACACATACTCTCTCTTTCATCCATAGTGTCTAAAACCAGAAGGCTTTATTAAAAAAAAAAAAAAAAAAGAAGGCAGAGAAATTATGCCATGAAAACAGAGGCCCTTTACCTTTCCTTCCCGCAGAGGAAGGATTATTTACTTATGCATGAAGAGTTAATGGAATGAAAATTGGACCCCAAGAAAGTATGAGCATGAACAGAGATGTTCCTGGTGCAAGTCAATAATAATAGTGCCAAATCATCACACAGAAAAAACACAACCCACTTTATCAGCTGAAGTCTTATGGGGGAAGAAAAAAAAAAAAACAAAAAAGAAAAGAAAAGAAAAAAAAAAGAGCAGACTTCTAATTAAGCCAGATTTCTCTATGGACAAATGTTGTGGTGACTTCTCTGGAATTAGTCACTGTAAACCTTAAACTATCACACCAGTAGGTATGGTTGATACCATACCGACTCTGACAAAGTAATTGATTTTATTTTCTGCTCCTGATCCTGCAAGACTCTTCCTCACTTTCTGAAGATCCATTATAGGAACCTTATAATTCATATTTCTCCTTAAATCTTTTTGGCTTAATCATCATGACCAAATATGGCAGTGTGCTGTTCAAATTTTCTTCATGCATCCATATATAATGGGTCTTGCAGCTGTACTCTTATGCTCCTTTTATCATAATAAAAACATGTTTAAGCAAACACATTTCTTTTGGAGTATTTCAAGTGCACCTGGGATAGGATAATCCTTGTTATGTATAGAAGTGGGGGGACAAGAAGCTGGAGAACAGACCTGCTGGAAGAGATCTGGGGGTTTGGTTTGATGGCAAGTAGAATATGAGTCAGCAGTGCTCTGGAAGCCAAAAGGGCCAGTCAGGTTCTGGGGTGCATCAGGCAAAGCATGACAGGCCAGTCGAGGGAGGTGATTGTCCTATTCTACGCTGAACTGGCGTGGCCTCCCCTCAAGCACTGTGTGCAGTGTTGGGTGCCTCAGTGTAAGAACATCACACTATCAGAGTGTGTACAGGGGAGGGTGACCAAGATGGTGAAATCTCTTGAGGACAACAGTTACAAGGAGTGGCTGAGGTCAGCTTATTCAGCTGTGGCATGTTCAGCTTGGAGAAGAGAAGGCTGAGAGATGACTTCATCACAGACTACGACTTCCTCAGTGGGGGTAGGAGGGGGTGTTGATCTCTCTATGGTGACCAGTAAGGGCATGAAGATATGGAATAAAGCTGCACCAGGGGAAGTTTAGATTTGACATTAGGAAAAGTCACCTTCACCCAGAGGATGGTTTGTCACTGTAACAATCTTTCCCAGGGAAGTGGTCATGGTGCCATGCCTCTTAAGAGTTCAAGAAGTGTCTGGACAATGCTCTTAGTCATATGGTTTATTTATAGGCAGTCCTACGAGGAACAGGGAGCTGGACTCCACGATCCTTGTGGGTCCCATCCAACTTGACATATTCTATGTTTCTTTGATCAGAAGTTGTTCACTGATTTCAGAGAAGTGAGGAACGAGAGGCTGTCCCAACTCTGGGCTACAATATTGATATAATATTGATAAGCACTTAATACAATATTGATAAGCTGAGAAGCAGTTGGATATGCAGAAACTACATGCCAGCGAGACCACAGCACTGCCTCAGAGAGCCCAGGGGAATAGGAAATGGGAAGGAGTTTTTTAGTTATCTTTGTGGCTGGTTTATAAATCTTTATGGGCTTTTATTTAGTAACTAAAGAGGATAATCATGCTATGAGACATGACGTTTATGGCAAGTTACAGTTTTTCTCCAGAATTAATTATTCTTCTCTTTGTCACTGAAACAAGAAAAGAAACAGAACTCTGAGGAACTGTCACAGAGAAGAAGTACCAGAGGAGTGAAAGAGAACGCTTTTAGAGGATGCAGTTACTGCAAGAATACTGTGCTCTTTCCTGATCCCCTATGTACAGCATAGCATCAGTGCTGGGTGGTCTGTGGTGGAATGTTTTTCACTTCCACCACACAGTGTTTTGCTTATTCTACTTGTTTTGGCTTCCCCCCTTCATCCTCCAAGATAGCACATACTTTGGCAGGACCTAGGGGACATGACTTGCTGGGAGCAAACCTGGTCTTGCAAAAAAAAAAAAAAAAAAAGTGACACCACCTTCACTAGTGTGTAAATAGTTCAAATATTTTCCTTTACTTTCCTTTATCTTGGATGATTGCTTGTCAAGAGATAACAAATGGAGAAATTTATTGCAAGAAAGCTAACAATGTGTTTACTATTGACTTGGAGTTTCTGTTGATCTGGGCATGGAAATAGGGCACTTAAATTCCTTAGAATGCTTAACTTTCAGCAGATTTGTTCTAAAACTGCATTATTTTTTAGGCTGTTGTAGTTCTTATCAAATAAAACATACTTCTTCACAAACAAAAGACACAAAGAAGTACATTTGCTCCTGTACGTAGACAATTAATTTCAGTGCCGCCTCCTGATTTCTGTTTACTTCTCCTGCCAGCACAGCAACAAGCAGTCATATTCTTGTCCTTGATAGTCACTTGCTTAACCACCTATGCAGTCTGTCCATTCCTAATACACAAAAATTAAATAAATAAACATCCCCCCCAAAAAAACCCCAACTCAAAAACAAAAACAAAACCAGAAACATGCATTCCCAGTCCTATATTTTCAAGACTGAAAACTTTGAAACTAATTTGGGACTTGGCAAATCACACTCCCATGAAGGAATGGATGCTGGAGTTCTCAGATCTTAGAGAAATTAGTTGTTTGACCACTAAAATTTTCAACAGCCTTTCACACCTGAGGTACTGTAGCTTCTATATTAAGAAGTATGTAAAGAGTGGGATTGTAAAGGAACAAACCTGGATCTAATCCCAAGTTGTATGCCAGATACCAGGCCCCCATTGCCCACCATGAAACAAATTCTCTCCTTTGTGCCAACAGATTAGGCTACAGTTTCTTCTCTCCATCATCAAAGAAGCAGAATAGTAGGACCCTGTCACAGCGACTTCAGCCTTCGTGTCATGAAGTACAGGTAGATTGCCCTCTCATTTACCCCCAGTATTTCTTTCAGCTCAAGTATGGAAGAAGGCTCATACTCACAGCTTTAGGCTCCATCTTTAGAGGCTTTTACTGCTCTACTATATCTATACACCCCATATATGTTTGCAATTTCTCACATGAAAAGAGACAAAATTAATCCAAAGGATTAGTGAGTTGTGCAGATAGGCATTTGCTTGCTTTCCTGTGGTCTTACAATGGAAAGACAATTCCATAGGGATGACAGAAATTGATTCTGGGGCCTTTCTGTTTATTCCAGTACTAATTCTTCTAGTACATAATAATTAAAATAATATTGCTCATCTGAAAAAAAGTCAGTTATTTGTAAAAACTGGTCTCCTGAAGTTCACAGAGTTAGAGAGCAACTTGGGTTAGAATAGGCACCTGACAGTCCTCTGATCTTAATTTCAAAGACACAGCAGGTTGCTCAGGGCCTTTCACAGCCAAATTTTGCATATCTTTGAGTTTGGAGAATCCACAATGTTCTGACTAATTTAATTTTAAACATAAATGCAAATATCACTAATGTATAAGAAGTGCCAACTTTCTAGCCAGTTTAGCTTTCTATCACCAAATCAGAGTTGGCCATGTGTGTGAATGAGTTCCACCAGTTCCTTCATTTTGATTCTCCCCTGCTCAGTCCAAAAAGCCCTCACCATTTCCCCTCGCTTTTACTCTCCTGGAGCCAACAGAGAGTATCTCTGAATATCCCAAGGAGTGTTTAGTCACTCTGTGAACAGCAAATTCCTAGCATGGTTAACAATGCCTAGGAGCAAAAGTGAGATAATAGACAGTTTCATACTACACATTTTTAGTTCCAATAGCATAATTTATACTTTGTCTCCATTTTATTCTACATGGATTATCAGTGGGATATCATTTGCACCTGGCTTCTCTTTCCTCACTGTTAGAGTATTTAACATTGCAAGATACAGAGTTTAATACCATGTAGTCCAACTGTCTTCTGACAGGAACAAATGCTCTTACTTGCATTCTATGCATTCTACTCTCTGAAAAAAAAAATACTCCAAACTAATTTTGTCCTTTTATTTCTTCAATTTATTCATCATTTTCCTACTTTTTTTAAATGCTAGAAATAGCATGCCTCAGTCTAAAATCCTTGCAGGCAAACAATGACATTCTATTAGTGGCACCTTCAGAGAACAGGAACAGGCCCTGGATGTGAGGAAATCCTTACAGTGAAAGGCTGACTTCTTAGACACACAGGTAAAATTCCAATGTTGTAGCTCTGACAAGAGACCAAGATGGAGTGAGAAAATAGTGAGATGCCAGATCCGTTTTTGTAAGGAAGGGAATTAAAGGTCAACAAAGAAGGCAGAGGAGGAATCACTGAACATCACGGAGTGGTGTGTAGGAGTAATTCCTCTTTCTTCTTCCCTCTTTCATTCTGCCTCATTTCCCTTGGATTCGGTTCATTAACTACTTTCCCCAAGGCGCTGACTATCCCTACCCTACCCATGACCTCCTTGTTCCTCCTTGCCCTTCAGCAATCTCTTTCTTTGGGCAATGAAGGAAGATGGCAGGGCTGGGGTCAAGACTTGTTTCTAAGAGGAGAAATGTCAGAGAGAGGAAGAAAGTGGGAGGAGAGTGTTACCACTCCTACTGCCTAGAGGGGTCACCTGCCATGCAACTATGCTGTGTCAGCTACAGAGCTCAAGCTGCAACTCAGCTGCATCTGCAGGAGGTGGGCCAAGGGCCCATTCCTCCAGCCACAAGCAGAGAGCAATTGCTCTGTGTCTCCTTACGTGTCCTCTGCTAACTTTCCTTAGCCTGATGTTGCCTCCTTACCACTGAACTCAAATCATTCTTCACCTACATCTTGGTCACTCACTGTTCCCAGACAGCAACCACATAAGCAAGGGATACTAAGAAAGATGAAGGATATTACGGAAGATGAAGCCAAAGGTCTAGAAAAGGAAGGGAGACAGACCAAGAAGAAAACAAAGTCTAAAGCAGATGAAAGATACAACTGCACTAGTTTTAAACTACACGGAGAAGATCTAAAAAAGCCACAAATACCAGTCCAAAAGATAATGGAGCCATGAAGATCTCCATGCAGCTGAACACAAATGGAAAGGACAGTTACAAAGAGTTTGGAAATGCTTTGGTAAAGAAAAGCAGATGATCATCAGGATAGTTTAAAAGAAGGTCCTCAGTGCAATAGCCTGCAAGTTCACACTTTTGCAACTCTCAAAAAAGTTTGAG